GCTGAGACAGGTGGATCACCTAGTCAGGAGTTCGAGACCAGCCTGACGAATATGGTGAAAACCAGTCTCTACTAAAAATACAAAAATTAGCCGGGTATGGTGGCGCATGCTTGTAATCCTAGCTACTCAGGAGGCCGAGGTAGGAGAATCGCTGGAACCTGGGAAGTGGAGGTTGCAGTGAGCTGAGATCACACCATTGCACTCCAGCCTGGGCAACAAGAGCGAAACTGTCTTAAAAAAAAAAAGATCTGAAACAAGTCTCCATGTTCTCATGTATGAAATGGGGTATAGCGAACCACCTGAGCCTGCCTACCGACCTTACTCGTCTCTCGTGAGACCCAAAACGCAGTTGCTACATATTAAAAGTAAGCAAATGAGTCATTCCCTCATCCAACTTCACTAGCCAGCCAACTAGTTTTGGAGAGCCCTTAGAGTCCTGCTGAAAATCACATGCAACAACCATCGTAGCCCCAGCCAGGTCCCAGGGTGATCCAATTCCTCTTAGGCCCTCACCACCTGCCAGCCCTGACCTCAGAGCAGCTGTGAATCTGCCCAACCATAGAGTGGCCCTTGTGAGGTCACATTTCCCACTCCCCCAGGTGGGACCCACTGAGGCAGTCAACCCTACGTCCAGCTGGGCGAGGAATGGGTTCAACTGCACGAAGCACACACGCCTCAAAACAAACACAAGTGAAAAACCCAAAGGGACACTCACTATGCCAGAGAAGGCTGTGTGGGCCAAGGCCAAAGCTCCCACAGTCCTGAACATCAGAGGTGTCTCGTGTCTTTCAAACGTGCCCAGTCCCTCCTGCAGGAGGCAAATCGCCCAGGGCCTTCTGAGCAAGCTGACCACCTAGTTTTGGAGCGTCTCAGAGTATCAAAGCAACAGTGAAAGATTATGCCTCCCTTCAGAGGGAGGGGGGAGGACTGCACAGCTGAAGATGTCAAAGGTTCCTCCAGCAGCCAGCCTGTGCGGTTTCAAAGCCAATTAGAAGCTGTAAGATAAGGGGGAGTCGCTGGCTGCTGGCCCCCTTTAAATCCCCGTTTCCTCCACCTGTAGGATGGTTTTGAGGAAGAAGCATAATGCCTGGCTCAGAGCATGCCCTCAGTAAATAGTGCCGTTAGCCCACCATGGCTGAGCCCCTTCAGAGACTCCCCCCACCCCACCGACCCCTCCCCAATGATCCCACAGTCCCATTTCACTGGACCTTGCCATTTTCAGATCTCTCTCTGGGGGTGGGGAAGACTCAGGGCAGAGAAGGAACAAAAAACCCAAGAAAGGAAAAAAAGAATTATTCAAGCATTTCCTTCCCTATTCTGCTTTGACCGTCTGCTGTCTTATACAGGTGGCACTTGTTCTAGTTAAGTGAACAGTGAACTTCTTCTGAAGACAAGAAACCACTGCTTTCCTCTCACTCACTGACGCTCAGCTCCCACAGCCCTCTAGCCAAGAGGTGCTGGTCTCGCTCCACCTAGGTCTTCCTGGACTGAGGAGTATGGTTCTGTTCTTCCAGAAACGAAAAAGACCCAACTAGGAGCCAGGCAACATGGCTCCTGCCTGTAATCCCAGCTACTCAGGAGGCTGAAATGGGGGGGATGGCTTGTGCCCCGTTCGAAGCTGCAGTGAGCTAGGATCGTGGCACCACACTTCAGCCTGGGCAGCACAGCAAGATCCTGTCTCTCTTTAAACATAAAAATAAAAATAAAACACCTGACGAAGTGTGACCCCATTTATAAATATGGAGCTAAAAGAGAAAGTTCCACCCAAAAGGAAAGTGATCAAAGATTTGAAAACCCTGGTCTGCACCTGAGGCAGGTTCCGGATCTCACAGGTCAGTCTCACTCTGTGGGGTTCATTCTTTCTCATAAAGCAGACTGCCAGCTACAATTCTATACTTTTATAAGACTTTTCATGTTATCAGAATCACAAATCAAAAGAAAACCTTTATCAGACTAAGGCCTGATTTCAGGACTGGAAAATATGGTTATCTATGTGTTTTGGGTCTTACATTTCAGGAAGTCTTGTTCTACTCTGTACAAGAGCCTCCTAATCAATCACTCTTCCTTCCCAGCCCCAACCCCAGCTCACTCTCTCTTACTGTCTTTCTGTCTCTCTCTCTCTCTCTCTCTCACACACACACACACACACACAAAAGAGAGTCAGAACCCAGAGCCACAGATTTATCCTTGTAAATGTCTCCAATGTTCTAAACTGCTGTACTCCAATACTAAATACCTATCCCTCTAGCTTTAAGACACAGCATTGTTTTGGTTTGGAAGAGCGGAGGGAAGGAAGGGATTTCCAATCATTGGCAGAACATCAATTTCTAGTAAATTTGCTAAAATTAGTCATATAACTCAAAATATAATTTTTCAAACTCTTAAAAGACAGAAGGGAAAGAGAGAGAAAATACAAGACATGCTTTCCTTGTCACACGGGAGCACCAGAAAATCTTTACCTGGATTGCCCCAAAATGAAAAACCCCATTGGTTCAAACATTAGAAAAATACACCACGTGCTGGCCCCAGCGGAGCAGCAATTCAGGACACAGAGTGTTCTGTTCACGAGCAAAAAATAAGAGAGATGTTTTCTTTGACTATTCAGAGCCTCAGTCATGTCCTACTGGGCAAATAAAATTCATATGACCAAAAAGACACTGAAGAGACTCCTTATAACGTAACTCCTCATTGCTACAACACCCTACCCAGCTATCCTGTGTCCTTCACAAAAGGTGAACTCGGTCTAATGAGGGTATCAGATTCTGAACTATTCAAAGAGATTGTATCTTTATTGATTCAATAAACAAGTACACCTTGGCCTTTGTGTAAATGCAAACTATTTGAGAAGGAAAAGCCTTTCTCTCTCTCTCTCTCTCTCTCTCTCTCTCTCTCTCTCTCTTTCTCCATCCCCCACCCTCCAGAGTTGGGCAACTGGGAACCTTCCAGGGCCCAGGCACCTAAAATTTTGTTTAAAATATTGTCAGGCCAGGTGCGGTGGCTCATGCCTGTAATCCCAACACTTTGGGAGGCTGAGTCAGGCCAATCGCTTGAGCTCAGGAATTTGAGACCATGGCAAAACCCCATCTCTACAAAAAATACAAAAATCAGTCACACGTGGTAGCAAGTGCCTGTGGTCCCAGCTCCTCAGGAGGCTAAGGTGGGGGGATTGCTAGAACCCGGGAGGTTGAGGCTACAGTGAGCCGTGATTGTGCCGCTGCACTCCAGCCTGGGTGACGAAGCAAGACTCTGACTCGAAAAAAATTAATTAAAACAAAATAAAAGGTTGTCATCATATGTCCCTGAGTCTCAGGGATAAAACCTTTCAGCTTTCAGTCCTGAATGTGCCTGGTAATGCTCAGAAGCCACAGTTGACACTGGTGAGACTTCTCATCCGAGAAACAAAGAGAAACAGAGCCCTGGTCTCCTTATCTCTGTGATGAAGTTTGTAACAATGCTATGTGTCTGGGAGTTCTACATGGGTGAACAATAAATAAGCTGTATAACACACATGGATTGCATGCACATAGTAGGCCTTCAATGAGTAGCAGTGCATGTGAGAGTTATTAGTCAAACCCGGGAATGATCAAGGAACAGAAACACTCAGGCTTCTACCTCCCTGCATTTTCACACGAGTCCTTCATTCCACACACAGTACCTGAGTCCCTACTATGTACTAGGCGCTGAGTTGGGAGGTGTGGAAATGAAGAAGGCACGACGCCTGCCCTCAAGAGATGAAGGATCCAGTCGGGAGGGAAAGAGAGATAAAACGCAGCAGTGAGCTGAGTGACAGAGAAAGAGGATGGATTCACGGTGGCCTAGACTGCCATGAATTTCCAGAAGTGGCCAACAGGAACTAGCCAGGTGAAGGAGGAGACTGGGGTGACACTAACGAAGGGTGCACCCAGCCTAAAAAGTCCATAAAAGAGAGGGCAGTGCACGTGTGCAGGACAACCCAGAGCTCTCCACGGC